ACGGCATCTTCTTCTCTTTCGAAACCCTTTTTTTCCTCTCTCACTCTTTGTCTTTTAATTTGGATTAAATTTTTATGTTTAAGTTGTTGTTTTCGAGCGATATTCTTTTAATCTTGCGTTCTATCCCACAAGTGATGAATTTTTACCATACGCCATCATTTTATCATATTCTTTATATTTCATTTGACGGGTCTATTAGGTGTCTTATTTTTTATGTATAATTTTATTAATTTTATCAAATTGTTTGCATAACTACTTAGTTATTCTGGGCTTCGCTATATTGTCTTTGATATTTCATTATCACTGATGCTTGTACGTGTTTTACTCTGTAAATTGCTTTTAACTCGGTTGGTTTGTTATTTATAATTATAAGCGCTTATGGTATTTATAATTGTATTGCTCTGTAAAATTGAGCTTTGCATTCGTGCTCTAGTGCTAGACGGACTCTACTCGAAGGTATCATTAAAAGGCAAATCGATCGATCGATCAATCTCTCTCTAAACAATGATTCGAACAGGCTGCCCGAAAGTCAGTTCGCCACAACCGCCAGCAGATTATACGCGCATCGCTAATTCTTTTTACTCCGAGAAGCAATGCTGTCACTCTGACCGTGCTCAAGTCGATATCGTGCTTGATTGATGCCCATACTCGCATGCTGCTCACTCTTGTTACTGCAGCATGCAAGTTGTGTTGTTTTTAACAAAAGCCAACGTGCCGTCGGCCGTTCTTGAAGTCACTTTGAACACACGCTAGATGGATAAACAATTTTTTCTCCACTTTTGTTCAGAGTTTTTGCATAATGACATTTAGAGGTCTGGCGCAGGCGCATGAGTCAATACCACTATAGAATGAGCAATGAGATTGTTTGTTCGCATCTGACTGCGCGGTATATAGTCGAAAAATCCTTCCATTAGTCCCATACAAACAGGTCACTCTCAACTGCGCGCTCACGCACGCGTCCAGGTGTGTCGCTGCCCCTATACACACGTTGTGGGAGATTTCTCAAAATGTCAACGCGCAAAGGAAGTCATTATACATGTTCTCTCTTCTCTTGTCTGGTCGTTGCTCAAATAGAGCGTCATCTGCTAGTCATATTTTTCCCGATCGAATGTATATGTATTCGGCAGGGGCGAGAGAGTCAGCCGCTATAAATCACTGGTACGTTACGTTTAGCGAAATAAATCTCTGGCTTATTTATTTAGCAACGAACGGAACGGGCGGTTACAGAAAAAAAACTGCGAGAGTAAGAGTGAGAGAATCAGAGTAACTGTCAAAGTGTAAAAAAATCTCTTCGGGTTCCAGTGTCAAAACACATTACATCTTCATGCCACCTGCCTGCGAAGTTTTTAAGCTCTGGCACACAGCTTTTTTTCTACCTCTCTGTCCCAATTTGCAGAGGAGATTCTCTCGCTCTTGCTCTCTCTCTCTCTCTCTCTCTCTCTCTCTCTCTCTCTCTCTCTCTCTCCGCAGGGAGGATTCAGCCGTCAGTCAGTCCCAGACCGCGAGTGAGAGCATCACAATGCGCAATTCCCTCCTTCTTCTGCCTTCTGCACGTCCGTCCGTGTCTGTCCGTCCGTCCGTCCGTCTCGTCTCGAGCTCTTGGCTGCTGCTGCTGCGGCTTCTCTCTCTCGCTCTGCTGCTACTCCGCGTCACTTCTGCTGGCGTTAGAAATTCATCTCTCATCTCCCCACGCTCTCCCCTCAAAAAAACCTTTTCTTCTCTCTGCCCTTCGTACATTCTGTTGCAGCTCTGCTTACCCTTTTGTCTCGTATCATCGATTTTAAAAAACTTTTGCGACGCCACGCTCCGAACACCCATATCGTCTTCTGTGCTGTGCGCGCGGAGCAGAGAGCAACTTGCATAGTAAACACAGTGTAAAGGCGCATTGTTGACACTTGTGTAAAGCCTTGGTTGTGCTTGCAAACGCAAATAGCAAGCTCAAGCTAAGGCTAAGTTCCCTTCCAGGACTTGTCGTCCAATTATTAACGTATTAAAGATTAAACGCTGCGTATGTGAACGCGAAGATAAGATAAAGCGAGAGAGCGCGCGCGCGAGCTTAATTACGATGGCTACGATCAACCGAGCGGACGCCTATTTGAATTACGATTTCACGATCGCAAATGTTTACCTCGTCTTAAATCTCCCTTATTTACAGCGACGCGCGCACTCAATGCGGCGCTGCGCTCGAATAGGATTGCGCGCCGCGCGATGTATCATCCCCGCGCGCGCGCTGCAGCAGCCGGCCGCGAAACGCGATATATCACGCAATTAGAATGAAGCAGCTCCTTGCAGCCATTAATTACGCCTTATGCGCGAGAAAGAAGGTAGGAAAAAGTTTTCGGTCGGCGCCCGCGAGAATCCGATCTGCCGCGCCGGGCGGCGGCATTTTAACGCTGAAAGGACACGCGCGCGAAATATATCAAAAGTCTCGCGCTCATAACGTAAACTCAAGCTCTCCGTCCTATAGGCAAGATATCTGCGAGGAGGAGAGAGAGAGAGAGAGAGAGCGCGCAGTGCAAGGGCTAATATATCGCGAGGACAGGATATCGTGCGGCAGCGATCTCGGATGTCAGCGGGGGCCGAGTAGCAGCAAGCAGCAGCAGCAGCAGCCCTTGTTAGTGCGCCTGCCAATATGGGGGCCACGATCGCGCAACTTCTCTCTATCTCTCGGGTCGTGCGAACGGTATTTGCATGCACACCTGAAGGAGCTGCTGCTCCTGCTGCTGACTTTTTTCTCGTTCCTGAGAAAGTACCGATGTTCAGGACAGGATCGCCACTTGATTAGGAGCGAACGAATGTTTGTTTGCTCGTTTCTTTTTTTTTTTTCTTTTTCCCGACCGAGGTTGAAAGTTTCTCTCTCTCTCTCTCTCTCTTATAGCAAAATCGAAGCTACCGTTGGCGCGCGGCGACGCGTAATTAGAGACCTATACCGGAGATTCTTCAGGTGAGATATATATCAGCTTTCAAGGTTTTATTTATTTATTTTTTTTTTAACTCTACTCGTCAATTGTGATTCCGAGGCGTGGACAGTTTTCAATTATTCTTTCCTTCTAGTTAATTGAGTTGAGCGTATTATCCGTAGGTGTTAAGGGCAAGAAGCGCACAAAAACCTTTGACTTTCTAAGCGAAGCATAATCGCGGGCGAGAGCAATGGAACGGACGCGGCTCTAAATCAGGAGCACGCGCACACCAAAGACAGCAGAAACAGCATCAGCGCGCAAACGTCTCAATACATCGGCACGTATACGTGCGTGGCTAAGTAAATGCATTAAAAAACCCGATTTCCCCCGCTGATCCTCAAAGAGCCTCTCTCTCGGCCAATGCATGTGTATAGACTTACGTGCGGCCGGCGGGCGGGGCTTGGCGGCCTTGCGAAACACGGTAGTACTGCTTACGGATTCCGCGTTGCTTATCTAAGAGTTTTCTCTCCGAGAGAAAGAGCCAGAGAGAAAAAGGAGGACCGGAGAGTCGCCTCTCTCGCTCTCTCTCTCTCTCTGTTTCTCTCCAGGGTGCGAGTGGAGACAATGGACAATGGGGACATAAATCTGCGTAATTAGTTGCCGATGCTCCCTCGCGGATCAATGTGCGATCTCCTTTCTCTCCCCCTTCGCTTGCTCGCCGTGAAGAGTTTTAAGAAACAAACGATCTACGTTGGTTGGCCAGTCGGTAAAGGTAGGACGACACCCCACTCCCGGACGCATAACAAGATGGCGCGTGCTCGAGCGAACGAGCGAGAGTCCTCGCGTCGCTTATTTGCATCGAGCACCTGTCTCCCTTCTCCTTCCTTATTTCGCGTTGCACGTATACACATATACACATACGCGTATACATATACGTTCGCCTTTCTTTCGCCAAGAGTAAATCACCGTGGCAAAAGAAAAGGTAGAAAAGAAGTATTTAGGGATCCCGAGATCACGATGACGCGAACGCGCTACTCCACTCCATAAATCTGCAAGGCTCCGCTGACCAGCGAGAGGCCAGCACACAGCACACGCATACACACGCCGGGGGACGTCTTCGCGTGGGAGGATTTGCCATGCCGAGGTGGCAACGCTGACGGGGAGAAAAGTCGAGCCAGAGCCGGTGCTGCTTGCCACTCGTTTATTTAACGCTTTCGCTCTGGCCGCAAGTCTAACGAGGAGCCTTGATCGCTTCATTATCGCAGCGCACGCTCGCTTGCACACGTGCGATTTGAAGAATTGTCCTTACGAAGGCCTAATAAATTATTGAATTCATATTTTCGCATAACGAAGCGTACCTCCATTTGCGCAAAGATGCTCTCGCAAGCTTTGACAAATAATTCATCGCGAGCGACAATAACTCAGAAACTATGGCAACTCCCCTCACGGGAATTAAAAGGCATCGCTTGCGAGCGAGAGCCCGCATTCGTACACTTTGAACACTTGCTCTTTCTCGGCGGGAGTCTCTCGTTCTCCCGCGCGTAAATGATAAACGGCTCCCCCACGTCACGTCCGAAATCGTAGGTACGCGAGCGTGCTCTCGGTCGTATGTATCGAGAGCGCGAGAGCAGAAAAAAACGAACATGGAAAAAGTTATGGGCTCGAATAGTGAATAAGTAGCTGCTTATCGTAACAAGTGTAAGACACCATAAAACACTTATGTTAACGAGTAGCATATGGCGAGCGGACGGAGGCATATACGCATAAGTACCGCTCGATAGAATCGGCGCGGGTATACGGCAGATGAAATCTCCCGAACGTGACAAAACACAGCGGCAGGGCTGTCAGGTCGCCTTGGAAATGATTTGATTAAAACTGCGAGGTGGCAGAACCAACAAAGGGGTTTCCGTGCGCCTCCCGCGAGAATCTTACTGGCGTCGGAGTAGCAGCCGATAAATGAAGCGATAGGTAGCCCATTGTCTTTCGGGCGTCTCTGCTCTTTTCGACAGCCCAGTTCGCTGCCGAAACAGTCAGAAATTTAACCGTCTCGCTCGAGTTTCTCTGCGACTGAAAGTTGCCGTTCTCTGATGATTGTTGCAGGGGAGGACGGTGTCGAAAGCTCAGGCCCCGGCACAGACCTCCAAGGTGAGGAAGGTGATTGCGCGGACGAGGATGGTCCGATTAGTCCCGGCGAAAGGGGCAGCGCCGGTGGGCCCACTGGTGCCGACGACGGCGAGGCTAGCGACGAGGACGACGACGACGATCAACCCACACAACCAAACGATCCGGCCGCCAGGCTTAATCCCGCTGCACTCAGGGATACTGGGCCCCCGGACAGGTGAGAACACCTCTCGCTATTATCAAGCACAACGTTCATTCGGTATTTTCAATTTGCTGATATTTCAGCCAGCCATTATCTGTCACGCTGCTGCTTGTCGCGCGATATTTATAATCAGATTTGCGCTGTTTGAAAAAACCATTTAATAAATTTTGAGATGTCGTAAAAAGATATCTCGAGCGGTTTGCTTGCTCTCCTCATAAACGATAAGCCTGGGAGCACACAGGAGGAACCTATACAATACATCACTTCCTTCGCCGGTATCTTTGCAAAATTATCGCGCACATCTAAAAGCGCGCGCTCCTTGACCTACAATCCTAGCAAATCGAATGTATCGCGGTGGTTGGCAAAACCAAGAAAGACTTCCTGTTGCCTCACCTGCTTGCGCGCTTTACGATCTCTCGTGGAAATCATATATCCTCCGGCAACACCTTCGGAGAAAACGAGTCTTTGATCTTGGCGGCAGCAAACGCGGCAACAAATCGCCTTCCCCTCGCGGCAGGGGCAAATAAGCCGACGGTGTCAGGCGGCTGATATCGCGGCGTCACTTGGCTAATAGAGATAGGAGCGCGCGCGAGTGTTTGGAGCGCCTTTTCTCGATCAGTCGGCGCAAGGGAGCCCGAGTATTGCGCGCCTTGCTTATTTTACACGCACACGTGCTGCTGCTGCTGCTCGCTGTCGTCCTCTGCGCGCGGACGTCGCCGTCCTTTTATTAGTTTTCTTCGGCTTCGTCTCTCTATCTCTCTCTCTCTCTCTCTCTCTCTCTCTCTCTCTCTCTCTCTCTCTCTCCCTCTCTTTTCTTTTTATTTGTATCCTCTAAGATGCCTGCAATTTGTTGGCATTGCAACAGACCGTGCTATACGTATATGCGTATGCAATCAACTCGCTGCGATAACATTTTTCTCATATTCGGCACACTTTATTGAAACTCAGCTAAGTATTATCGAATATTTACAAGAGTAGCGCTTTACTGTTATTGAAAGCCGTAAAATGCTTTCATCTGGTAATTCACATCCATAAAAACTAGCAAAGTAAGCTTCAACTTAAGGAAATGTATAGTCCAGTTGGAAAGCTTTCAATTTTGAACTTTTGCAGTAACTCACGAGAATATGAAGTTATATTTGTAGAGCGAGCACTTCAGTTGGACAAAGACAAGATTTATAGCATTGTAAACGAAAATTTTCAAGTTGACAAGATATAAATTTTAGTCAAAATTTGACATTTTTTTCGACGGTACAAGAGCTTTTTTCAATTAAAATATAACTGAAATAAAATTTACTGGTCGTTCAAAATAAATCGAAATAAGTGAAAACAAATCTAGTCGCTATCCCCAGGAGGATAACTCTTCCATCCAGCAGTTACTGAATCTTCGATCAAATTATTTTAGTTTTCACTACATTAAACACATAGAAAGTTTTTTAGATTACTCACCATCGCGATACAACAAGAATAAAAAGAAACCATTTACACAACTGGCTATACAGAGTAACCCACACACAATCTATCGCAATGTCCCGCTGGCGCGTGCTTCCCCACCAGCACCCCCTCAACGCAATCGCGAGTCAAGAGAGAGAGAGAGAGAGAGAGAGAGAGATCTGGTGTAGTGCACTAATATATAGTATCTGGTGCGCAGTGCATCCACGTCAGAGCAGCGCACCCTCGTCCGCACTCGCCCCACTCCTTCTCCTACATCAGCAACAGTACATAGCACGTCCAAAAAGCTTCCCCTGCCCCCTCTCCCCTCCTCGCGCCGTTCAGTACACGCATCGCTCTCCCGGCTCAGCTCTCTGATTCTCTCATTCAGTCAGTTACGAACGAGCCGTCGACAGACTGCGACGAGAGTTCCTCGTACGTCCTTTAACTGCCGCCGTATCGTGCCCCTCTCTCTCCCTTTCTGGTTGGTTCGTGCGTAGGAGAAAGAGAGTTCGACTCCACGTGCGCCTATGCATCCGAGCGCTGCTGCCGCTGTCGCTACGGCTACTACGCGAGCACAGGTAGTCGACTCTTCTTTGACGTATACTGTGCATCGTGGTATATTCACTGATTGTTAAATTTTTAATCTAAATCTAGCAACAATGTTTCTTTTTTTTTTTTATTTTATAATTGATCGCTTCGAAATAACTTTATCTATCTTCCAACTTATTGATCGATGCTCGTGTATTCTCGTAACAACTGGTATCGATTCAAATTTATTTTTCATCGACATGTCAACGTTAACATCTTGTCATTTCTGTAGGCTACGTATCACAGACATATAGACATTTATGTAACCTACTTTCCAGAGTCAAATGATTCTTTTATCTTCCATTAACTTTGATCAACATACATTTTTCGAAACTGTCACCGACCAATTAAAATGCAAAAAAGCTTCTACTTTTTCCTTGGCTCTCTAACAGCACACTCAAGATCAGCGCTGAATAAGAAACCGCTTTCAACGCGCAAGCGTGAGACCAACTCAGAAAACTTTGACGAAAGCAATTAAATGTAAATTGTGAGAACAGCTTGATCGTACGCAATGAATATTCATGCTGTGTGCGCTCTGCCTCTGTTTTCTTGAAAATCGTTTTGTAATGTTTTATTTCTTTTACATTGATGTCGATTTCCTACTGGCAGCAGTGAATGAACAACTTATAAAACGTAGTCGAGTTAAACACTCGGCCGAAGGTCATGAAATATTAGTGTCACAACACGCCGGCGTTAGGTGTAAATCGATTACACGAAAATTTATCGGTTTGCCCGATGATTAACGACTATTAAGTTGCTAGAGAGGAATCTTGTTCGCTCGCAAGACAAGCTGACACGCCGTATGACCTTCCATCGCTTATCCATGCAGGATAGGATTGAATATCATCGAGTTAATATCCTTGAATATTGACCTATTGTTCTTTTCATCACAATCATTATTATATTATAAAATAATATATACGTATGTAATTGAAAACAGTTGGAATGATAGAAAATAGTAATTATAATTTTTTCTGTTTCAGGGAGCCAATGAGTCCGCGGTGTCCATCGAGAGACTCGCGGGAATCATCCGGTCCAGCAACCGGTAGTCCCCCACCGCCGGCAACCCGGAGTAGTTCAAGCCCCATAAGCCCTCCAGGCAGCATCGTGCCGCTACCTTTAGGCGTGCATCCGCTCTTACCTCCCCAGTCCGCAGCCATGATGGCAGCCTACCTCCAGCAGACGCATCAGCGTCTCTTGCTCGGACATTCACCATTATCGCGAAGCTCTGTATCGCCATTGGTTTCATCCTCGTGTTCGCCACCCGCAGCCACTCCAGGTTTGCACGTATCGCCTCAAAGCGGGGGTGACGTGTCTCCTAGCGCGACTCCTTTACCTACCGTGCTAGACTTTAGCACCCGAAAGGCATCGTCGACGGAAGAGGATGAAGAAGAGCAAATTTTGAATCTCAGCAAGCCACCCACACCATCCTCATCGACGGAAACGAACAACGGTCCACTCGACCTTTCGGTGTCGAGTCGAAAGCGGCCTGTCCCCGAGGATTCACCACCTCCGCCACCGCGCAAGTCGTCGCGACAAGCCGCGGTACATCCAGAAGCATCGCCGTACGCGAGGAACGTTGTCTCGCCGTGGACATCGCCGGTCGTGGCGTCGCATTTCCCGTACTTTGCCGCGGCCGTCGCGGCGGCAGCAACTAGTCAGCAGCAACTATCACCGAAAAGTGGTGCCGGTGTCGTCGATCACCAGCTGTGGAATGGTAAAATAAAGCCACCTGCTCTGGACAAGTCCTTCCAGCCTAGCGAAGCCACGAAAGCTCTCGAGAAGATGAGCGAGCTCAGCAAACTTGGCGGCGAAGATTTATTTAGAGCGGGTGCAGCTGGTGGTGGAAGTGCGGGCGGTGGATCGGTTACGTCTGGTAGCCGGCACAGTGCTTGGCAGTCCCACTGGCTCAACAAGGGTGCTGATCAGGCGAAGGATGTACTGAAGTGCGTTTGGTGCAAACAGAGTTTCCCAACTTTGGCCGCGATGACGACGCACATGAAAGAAGCTAAACATTGTGGTGTCAACATGCCAGTACCACCCGCAGGTGGATTGCATACGCCAACACCACATCAGCCCTCCATCCCTCCGACTCCACCTCAGCCGCCGCAATCGTCGTCGAGTGTAGGCGGCGGTAACAATAATTCGACAAACAACAAGCAGAGTCCCTCAGAACTCAATCTCTTGATAAAGGAGACGATGCCTTTGCCGAGAAAGCTCGTACGAGGTCAGGACGTCTGGCTGGGAAAGGGCGCAGAACAGACAAGGCAAATTCTGAAGTGTATGTGGTGTGGCCAGAGTTTTCGATCCCTCGCGGAGATGACATCGCACATGCAACAAACTCAGCACTACACCAACATCATTTCGCAAGAGCAGATAATCTCTTGGAAATCCTCGGACGAGAGCAAAGGCGGAAGCAGTGGTGGATCTGGCGGAAACACGGGAAGTAGTGGAGGAAGTGGCGGCGGCGGTGGTGGTGGTGGCGGCGGCGGTGGCGGCGGTGGTGGTGCTACACCGGGCAGTGGTTCCGGACCTCACGGACCAAGTGCAGGCCCCGGAGCTGGTGCAACCAGCAGTCATGTGAGTGCTGTTCTTACTTGCAAAGTCTGTGATCAGGCCTTCAGTTCGTTAAAAGAGCTCAGCAATCACATGGTGAAGAATAGCCACTACAAGGAACACATCATGAGGTCAATCACTGAAAGTGGTGGGCGTAGAAGACAAACGCGAGAGAAAAGGAAAAAATCGCTGCCGGTGAGAAAACTTTTGGAACTTGAGCGAGCACAAAATGAATTCAAAAATGGCGATGCTGGAGCTGCTGCGTTAGCATTGGGCAAGCACGCTGGAAGGATTACTTGTGAAAAATGTGGTGATAAAATTGAGACGACAATCTTTGTGGAACATATACGTCAATGCATTGGTGCGGGAGCCCTTGGAGTGAACCAGCGGAACTTTCTAAAAAACGCTTTAATGTCAAATCATTTACCGCCCACATTACCTCCTGGAGAATCCGGCCGCAAGAGCGTCAACGAGGAGACTTCGTCCATTTCATCGAGACATCATCGTTCACCATCATCAGCCAGTGATGCAACGACACCCGGCAAAGAGACTCCAACACCTACGCTTAATGAATCAAGTGGTGGAACCTCGTCCCCATCTGTACTTAATGCTATCGAAAAGCTTATCGAGAAAAGCTTCGACTCGCGGATCCGACACGGTGGAGTAGGAATGCATCACGCTCAACCTGGAGCACCGATTGGTTCAAGTATTCTTAAAAGACTTGGTATCGATGAAAGTGTAGATTATACAAAACCACTAGTCGATCCTCAAACCATGAACCTCCTGCGATCATATCAGCAGCAACATTTTAATGCGTCACGTCGAGAAAGAAGTGGAAGTGAATCGAGTTCTGTATCAGAACGAGGTAGCGGAAGAACTGATACCATGACGCCAGAAAGAAGGATAGACCTATCCACTGCTCACGACAGACTATCAACATCTTCAACACTTTCGCATCATCCGCGATCGACGCCCGATAAGCAAGGTCGCCACCCTACAAACGAGGAGTCCGAAGAGGAAGAATCAATCGTGGTTAAAAAGGAACCAAGGGACGAAGATGTCGAAACGTCTGCTAGTAATGAGAATGATCATCCTGAGAGGGACGTCGTGGTGAAAAAAGAAGTTGACGATACCAGAGAAGAAGATGAATCAGAAACGTTTAATCGCAGACGAAGCAGTAGTAGAGTTCGAGAAACGTCAGAGGAACGAAAAGACGTAATGTCACCTCAAATGAATCCTCCAACACCAAGGCCTTTGAGTCAAGTCGAACAACTGGCCCGTAGTCCTTGTCGTAACAGTACCAGCAGTCCAACGAGCAGCGACAGGTCTATCACCCCACGAGGTACTCCAGATAACAAAGCGTCCAGTAGTCTTGGTGCTTTATCCTCGATGTTTGACAGTCTTTCGGGAGGCGGAAATACGACCAGCAACAATGCCACTGACGGCCAGGGACGGAAAACCAGCAGTCACCCACTAGCTGCTTTGCAAAAGCTTTGCGATAAAACGGAAACGCGAGGATCCTCCGGAGGAGGTAGCAGTAGATCAGGTTCCGCTTCCAGTGCAAATCTTGGCCCGGGTGGTGGTCCAGTTGCCGGTGCAGCGGGAGCAACAGGTCCAACACCAGGAGCTATTCTTGCCTTTAGTTGGGCATGTAACGATGCAATTGTCACCGCCGACTCCATCATGAAGTGCGCGTTCTGCGATACGCCCTTCATCTCAAAAGGTGCTTATAGGCATCATTTATCTAAGATGCATTTTGTCAAAGACGGCGTGATCCCTGATCCATTGACTATCGGCCGATCGGGTGGTGCGTCGGTGAGCGGCCAGGCAGCATCCAGTGGAGCGAGTCGCAGCTCGACGTCACCGCCGTCGTCGCAACGCAACAAGTCGCCACCCATTCCCCAAGCGAACGGTAGCCCTTCGCAGCCGACAAGCTCGCCTCTTGAAGAGAGTCCCCATTCGAAATTTCTCAAGTATACGGAGCTGGCCAAGCAGTTGTCTAGCAAATACGTATAGTCCGAGTCCCGTAAGTAGCGGTGCCACTTGTACATAAGTGTATCTATATTGTAACGACAGACAAACAGACAGAATAGTGCTCGAAGAGCGTGATTTTTTCTATTTAGAGGGCTTCAGTCCGCGTATACATCGTGCCAACGGTTATGGTTACATGATGATGGGATCCAAGTTGACAAAGTCGAAAGGGCTGATCATCGTACTTTTTCGTTTTATTAACAATAAAGAATAAAAAAAAGCACCGTACTCATTTCGTGGAAATTCTCGTACTCGTTGTATAAGGCCCTTTCGATGATTCGAAATGTTCGTAGTTCGATTTAAACATAGCTGAGTATTTCTGGCAATTCAATCAGATACCATTATTACGGATCATGAACCGTCATTCGCGTCTTGTCATTCCTGGGTCAATTTACTGAGTAGCCTTTGTCTTCCGTCTTTCATTTTTTAATGCAAACGGCGACAACTTCTTCTTTACTATAGATGCAAATATTATTGTGGGCAGAAGATCCAAAAATATTTCTCACTCGTTTCGAAACTACAGATTTACTAAAAAAAGCAAGCAATTATAGTTAACGCACTAAAGTAAAGTTATTAGAGATCTATGTAGAAACAAAAAAATATTTGAGAATCAAAAATGAATCCGCGTCGCGAATAGAATCAAAATACAACATGAAGGGAAGGCACAAGAGGCGACACCGGCGTAATGACGATCGCCGAGGGCGCAAATAGATAGTAGAGACGAGATTGACTTTTCATTGTGATGCCACCATATCTCGCAGCACCGCTGAGTCGCTTAACACGGGACTCGGCGCGCGGCCAAGTATGTGATTTTATAATATGAAATACAAATACTTAAGATGAAAATTTTTTGCGTTTTGCTAACGAGAGTCCGCAGGTGATTTAAAAAATATAGATACTTAAGATGCAACTAATTGATATACGTCAAAAGTGCCGACTGATCTCGGTGATTCGCGAAATCGACTGGCGCATCGTTTTAAAAATGAGATAACATAGTTGTCTTATCTAAATAGCCTACGAAGAGACATAATAAAAATTTATCTTCGTTATCAAAGAGACTTCGATTATGCTAAAAGAAACGGAAAAACATTAAAAAAAAAAACACAAAAAGAGATTCTCGTAATAAAGTATTCAGTAAATAACGCACTAAAAAGATTATCGAAAGCTTCGATTTCGTTAACCGCCGAGATCGCGGCATTTGATCACCTGCACTCACCGTCGCATTCGTAAGCATGTATACCTTTAGCAATTAAGTCCATAGCTGATTAGTTAAAAAGTCTAGAGTAGAGCCCGCCATTGTATAGGAATCTCTTTGTTGATAATTGTAATCCGTCGCGGGACTGGTCACCCGCGACGGCCAAGTATTTTCCTCCTCAACGCGGCCGATGTGTTTTAGCATATTCAAAACAAAGAAAATAAAAATGAGAAAAAAAAAACTACATACACACAAAACGAGAGTGAGACTGCGCGGCGAGGAGCGAAAACTTGTATTGCGCTTACACGACACATGCGGTGCAATATCGAATTTCCTTGTGAAACGCGTGCGAAATTTTCACGCGAGCCAGTATTAAAGGCAAACTGATAAGCTATAATAGGAAATATAGAGAAAAGACAGGAAAAAGAAAAAGTGTCGTGTCGTGAAAGATAAGACCATTGTAAATTTTCTTTGTTTTTACAAATAATATTTATTATCGCGCATCCCCGAGTGAGCAACACTGAACGCGTCGCATTTCAACGTGTAAAATACTAATCATTGATTATCATTCGAATTATCGCGATATATATTGTGTATATTATTGATTGACTACATTGAAGTATATAATTAATAAGAGAAATAAGAAACAGCGAGGATCTGTGCGAGAAAGAGAGATACAGTGATAAAATCTCTGTGCGAGAGTGCGAGCGAGAAAATGTGAAACACAAAAAATAAACACAGTAGCGTACGAGGTGATAAAGGAGGAAAGAAAGTGATATAGCAGCTCGTGTGAACGGTCGGTAGTTGATAGACGAAAAAAAGGCTCAATTGGATTTAAATTTAACGTATGGCATACTTATGCGAAGCGATCGCCAAAAAAAAAGTAAGCGAGTTAAACTGAAGAGGATTGATAAAAAAACTCACACACTTGTATACGTATTTCTTGTAAACTCTAATTCTTCCATCGCGGACTTTAAAAAGTATTTATCGATATAATAATAATAATTAATATTATTATTGTAATTATATACGACTGCTGAGTGCATGTATGAGGATGAACATTTTAAAAAAGAAGCATCAAACACGCGCCCACGCGCGTGCGAGACTGAAAGAGTGCGAAAGAGCGAATGAACGAGTGTACGCGTTATTACATACGATGAAACGAGGACAAGTTGCGTTTAGACATATTAAAAAAAAAACACAGACACCACCACGCGCGTGTGCGCGCAAATTTCACACACGCTCTTACACAACAGAACATTATGGATACATACAAAAAAAAATGAAAACGTGAAGGTATAACGAAAGCAAAAAATACGATGCGAAAACTGTACACGAGCGTACCTATACACATTGAACCACAAAGATATGCATCATGTATACGCGACTCTTGAAAAACCATTTTACCAGATTTGTCATTATTTAATTATTTCGGTTGTATTTTAAAATGCAATTAAAGCTCAAATAAATATATATGTTATAAACTAATAACTAAGACTTTATCATTCTCTAAACGTTATCCTTGGCTCCTTGACCTCATCCATGTCGTCGTTTTTTTATTTTGATTATTTACTACCGTGACGTATTGATGGCTGATAATAAAACTTTTCAATGGCTGTTATTTGGTAGTTTCCATTAAATTAGAATAAATCTCGAGTAAATATTAATAAATATATCGTAAAAAAATCAATGATTCCATTAACAGGTTTCGTTACTTTAAATTATTTCCTCAAGGTGAACGAGACGAAAATATTTTTAGATGCGCATAATTGCACATTGTTCAATAATATTTATTGTTGCATATAAATGATGCCATATTTATTTTACAACTTCCATTATTTTCTTTTTCGTTTGTCTTGACAGTATAACAACGATTGATTAATCATGAATATTTCTACTACATGTACTCAGCTTGAAGTTGCAACTTTATATACGATCTTGTTTGTAAATTGCAAATAAATTGTACATTTACGCACAATGTAACAATGTTTTAAAAACCGCAAAAATCATTGAAGTGTTCGATAATTAAGATATCAACTGCCAGTTTATCAAAAAGTAGATTCAAAAACCAATGGTACTTGCGTCGAATAAAATAAAATTCGCTCTCTAGTTTTGCTCATCTTTACCTTATGCGTTGATCAAGGAAAACGTCAACGCAGTACAGAAGCAAAGAATAAAGGTAAGTAAGTGGATGCAGAGTAGCAAAGAGTACATTGTATTGATCTTAGAATGAAAAAAAGAACGGCACCGTTGAAGAAGCAGCAATAGCTGCAAGTATCTAAAAGCGATGGCGAAGTGTTAGCGCGAGCTGCAAATAACTGTGAAGGTCGCGTTGCTAGACGGGTGATCAGACTTGGGGCCAAGACAAGCCAAGATTTCGAATGCAAATGCAAAACCGGTTGAGAGATCGTCTCTCTTTCTCTCTCTCTCTTTCTCTTTCTCTCGTCCTGCGTGCTTCGGATACGCGGTTTGTGCACTTTTTATTTTAAACGTAATGCGCTAATGAATTGATACAGCCAAGCCGCGCCATTTATCTTTTCGTCTGCCTGTCTGAAAGATCTGTTTGTTTTCTCAACTCTTCCTATTTTCGCGGAACCGGGGCGTCTTTTTAATCTTTTTTCTTTTTCGGTAAATTCGTGTGAGATTGAGAAGATGCGATATATAATGGAGGAAAGAGAGAAACTTGAGATAACAAGCTTCGAGCATATACTGTCAAGTGGAATTTTCGTCGAAGTACGCGTGCATCAGCTTGTAAATTATTATATTTTACGGAAATTGATGTAATCGGATTCATGAAGAATCGCGCCGAAAGTTGCCTCGTGCATGTTATAAGCGCTTGAGTCTCTTTCTCTCGCGCGCGAACATCGTTTACTGTCTTATGCTGTTGATTAAAAGCTCCGTTATTATTACGCTGCAAGTTGCTTTGGAGTACGAAAGTCATTCCATTGAAGTTTTTCAAAAATAGCTTTGCCTTCAAAAAACTATTCTTAACAAATCGTTAAAAATATAACAAATTATTGTCCTGAATAAGCGAAAATATCAGAACACAGTGTGGACGTCAATCGCTCGAGTTGAAAAGGAGCAACATTAAAATGCTGTTGTATTTTTAAGCCCTTTAAATGTAATCCGGAAAAATTGGTAAGACTAGTGGTTTAACGGTTTATCGACAAGGTATCGCGGAGTCTTAGTCATTGGAAACGCTCGAATGGCAAAAGCAATAGATCCGTTGCTGCACGTGACAATCATGAATCAAAGCGCGTAGCGTATAGCTGCGCGCGGAGATATCATAGATAATGGGTAGACCGAGCGGTCATAGATAGCAGCCGCAATTAATCTCAGCTAGCGTTCTCGCGAAAGTGCAGCAAGCACGGCCCATAAGGGGCACGCTCGATTAACCGCTGCGATTCCTTTTTGCAGTCGCCATTCACGATCAATCGCGACCAAATCTCTTTTTACTTTTACTTCTATACACAGATATCAACGGGAGAAATCTATATGCGCGGGATTTACTTCTCGTGATTAATTTATTATGGCATATAGTTTGATTTTTCTTCATTACTAACCTCTTCCGACTCTACTTCCTCTCTCTCTCTCTCTCCCTCTCTCTTTCTCTCTCTCTCTCTTTCTCTCTCTCTCTCTTTCTCTCTCTCTCTACGGCTATGTACGGTCGCTTGGCAAATTATTGGGTTAATACCGGTATAATAAGTCAGTGCACTCCGAGGGAGAAAGAGAGAGCTTGTGTTACAACAGCTGTTTGAACTTCGATCGACTACTTATTGAGGAGAGAAATTTTTTATGCTGTATATATATGGACTCCTACTTTCGCTTTAATGTGTGCACTTTGTTTTACATGTCTCAAACAATTTTCTTTGACAGTCTATTTTGAGGTAGAATAGAAACTGTTGGCATTTATAATCCTTGGTATTCTCATTGTAGCTCCGTAAATTTATAAAGAGAAAAATATCATCGATTGCGCTAATTTCAGTTGTACAGAAAGTTTGAAGCAATAAGCTTTCACCGTTTAGAACGGCTGTTACGAGGGGCTAACATTATCATAAATAGTCTGCCAATAAGGGCATTTTCAGTCTCAAGCTACTCATTTTTAATTGACCATTCGATTAATTATGAATTACCGATCGGTCGGACGTCTATGGAAAAAGAAAGCGTGCAAGGCAACGGTTTACTAACGCGATCTCGATGCATTTAATTATCTGCATTATTCTCCCGAGGCATTGGTTTATAATTACTGAACTTGCTTGCAACTAATTAACATTATTTAGCTGCTTTTGTTTATAGAACTAGAAATAAACGTTACCTCCGTAATAAGAAACCTATTTTTTCCATTGTATTATAGACATGTATTATGCGATACTTTTTAGAAAAAAATTCATACCACTTTTTTAGTTTATAGAATTAGAATGGATTTTAACAAAGGAGATTTTCGCAAGAAGCTCTCTCAAGCGTAAAACTTTTGTTAATCAAGACAAAGGAATGAATTTGCGATTTCGAAAAGCCATTAGGAAGTATTTCGCCAAGGCATAAATTTCACAGTCTTTTGGGGCCAAGATTGATTGTAAACGCACGACAGGGAAAAACGAGGGAAAAAACCCACGATGTTCAGATGAACAAACGCGAAGAAACGAAGAAGAGAGAAAGAGAGAGAGAGAGAGAGAGAGACACTCGAGGATAGGAGCGTTTCTGCCGCCGCCACCACCTATTGCCTCAGGGCCGGTAATGAATTCGTCTAATGGGTCGTAAAGAATGCGATCTTATGGAGCGGAGAAGATAAAATAAAACACCGGGGAGGGTGAGGTTAGAGAATCTTCTTGAACTAACCCTCGAGGAAAGCTCGATTGGCCCACCTTATTCTTCTTTTCTTCTCTCTCTTTTAACTTGATGCTCGAGCCAATTACTTGTTTCTTTCAACGATTCGCACAATTTTCATTGAATTTTCACCATTTTTGCACTGATAATAGGTTCAGTTTTTAAACAAGAAATCTGAAAGGATCGAAAGATTAGTATACACTTATATATAATCGAGATTTAAAAGTCTTTGATCGTGAAATCGGCGAGAGAGAGAGAGAGAGAGAGAGCGAGATAGTGTGTTCGAACTTCGAAGCGTTGACGACATGCCGAGTTGTGGCCCCATCGAAATCCGTAATTCTTCGTGCGATCGGCCTCCAGATAAACCCACCGTGCGCACAAATCTTTCCGATGTACTCTCTCTGCGTACGTCGAGATATCGGCCCTCCTAAACTGTCCATCCTCCTTCTTCTTCGCCTTTTTCGCTCTCTTTACGCCCTCTCTTCTCTTTTGTCTATCTCCTCGCGACTTTCTTCTTCTTCTTCGTTTTTTTCGTACCCTGTATACTTCCACTCGGCTGTCTTCCTTGCGCTGTCTCTGGCATTTTCGATACAAAAGTGTTTCGTAACTCACTCACTGCGCTTTCTGCCCGATTCATCCAGACTGACCGTATATCTCAATTGTCTTTAAAAATCAGGAATCGAATTTATCACTGTCGCTATCTGTCCAAGTCGACGATTTTAATCTTCGTTTTCTATCTAATAACTGTGCTGTAGAGTAGTAAGCTAAATTTTTTTTTTGTGAATGAGTGTTCGTGAGCTAGAGGGATGTGTCCACTTCTTAGTCATGTAATCATATTTGCATCCTTCTATTGAAGTTGATGACCGGGTTGTTTTTGCAAATGTTTTGTTTATTTTCTTTTCACATTGGTTATTGTTGAATACATCTGACTACAAGTTATTTACTTATTGGTAGATTTTCTTATTTATCTGATTTTTTTTAGGACCTGCTTTTTGTCGGAGAGGAGAACTTCATAAGTCATATGATGTTCGGTGAAATATTAATTGGTTCGACAATAGAATGTTTTTTTAATCATTTTTTTATTATCATCATATATGAGATGGTTTTTATAAAGGAGACTGTGTACTTGGTTATTGGGGAAGTAAAATATCTCGAGTGCATAGTTCATGATTAATTTTTGTCGTCTGTGGTGTAGTGGTATTACGTTACTTTCACTCAAAATACTGTTAGTGAAGCTTGTTCTATATGTACCTGTAAATATTCTCATACTTGTGTGTAGGATTATATTTGGTTTATTGAAAATACTCTCACTCTATATACTGCACATCCATAATTTAGTTCAAATTAGATCAGAGTTTTGTAAATGTTCGTTATTATTTGTTGGCTAGCTCCCCAATTTCTTGCAGACAGAATTTTTAAGGTGTTCATATAGCGTCTATACTGGTTCTTTAATTCTGTGATATGCGAGGCCCAAGTTTATCTTTTATTAAAGAACATGCCTAAAATATTGACTTCGTTGACAATTTTAATGGGATCCTTTCCAATATGGAGATTGATATCTTTGAAATTGCTTTAATCTATTATTGATTATTTTGAATTTAGATTTCATTCAAGGGCATTTGGCTGATCATA